AAAAGTGGAGAGTCGCAAAGACCCCGAAGGACAAGTCCTTACGTCTTACCAAGGAAGAAGATATACATCAGCAATGGCAAGAGTGTTCTTGAAAACTTCTTTTACCTGAATAAGTACAGGAAGGCTCGCCTTTCAGTAAACGCAGTTGCGAGAGCAGTAAAATGCTTTGCTAAAGAGAAAGGCAAAGTTTGTTGGAAACGATGAAAGCCTCGATATGCTTAAAAGGCCAAAAAGGCATGTCGTGGCTAACACGCGTCTGTCAAACTGCAATAACTACGAGCAAGACATCGGTGAACTCAGCATCTGAAATGATAGTACGTCTGTTCAAGTTGGGAGACCATACGGACTGCTCCAATTATTGGACTATTACCTTATTTTCCTCCCGGAAAAAGTTTAAGCAGCAGTGTTGGAAAAGAGATGACCCAGAATGACTGACTTTATGATCCATGAAGAGCAATGTGACTTCAATTCAGGCCGAAACGTCTCTCAATGGATCTTCACCTTACGCCAGATATCATGGGAGTTCACTCATCCAGTTTGCATTCATTTTGTTGACTTCGAAAAAGCACATTACCGGACCAGAGCAACAAGTATATGAAATATATATGTTGATAGCAGATGCTGGATCAGAGTAAATGGCGCCAAGTGGAGAATTTTCAACGTCTGCCAAATTTGCGTTCTGTTCCGTTTTCTGATTATGCTCTACGCCAATAGGGCAGTGAACCTGATGAGTTTATCAGCGTAGGAGGTATAAGCGTAGAGGTAGACAGAGGAGGCGTCTGTCGACTGCTGAGGGACTTGTGTTAGCATGTTAAGTGCTCTCTGGAACGGTTCGAAGGCGAATGCGATATGGGCAGTGTATAAAGCGCAAAGCTTAGTGCTATTTTGTTTTCCTCTTGGCTGCACTCTGCCGCATGGAAAAACAGCTGAATAAGTGTATAAGTTCACATAACTCAGGGTTATGAAAAACGGCAGGAAGAGACAAACCGGCGAATGAACGGCGGCTTTCCGCCTGAACTAGAAAACAGCGTTTTGACTAGGATGGAGCCAAGTCTGAAGGCGGAGCATGTATTCAAGTCGATCTTCTTCCTCATGCACATCTATGGTCATTTTTATTTGTCATGATTGCATAACTTCGATTCGAGT